TTTAACGATTTACTTCCGGATGATGTTGTTTTCCGTTCGAATAAAATATCTATGCTTTTTCAATAAAATTCGATCCAATATTGAATGGTTTTTCGTTTTGTCAATCATATATATCCATTGCGAAACATTACCACGAGTGTTGTTTGCGTTGCAAATTAGTTTCCAACGAATATTCATATGCAGCTGTTGTCATTCTGTATTCGAACGAACATCGTATTGTTTTCACGATAGGAGCAGATTGATCATTATTGCATTCGTTCGAGTGAATGCAACGTGGACAATAAATGCTCTTACAAAAAGCGATTGAACGAACTAGAAATTCAACATTACATGTGAAAGCATATTTATTTCAGTTAAATTCCATTCAACGAATCAATCAAAAACCACAAAACGTTCTCGATTGAATGCTTTTTTAACGCCTGCCTCGTTGCGAACTGAACAAATCGTTTGCAAGTTTCATGCATAAACATTTTTGTATGAAAATTTTTTGCCTTTGTTCCAAATCAATAATCGCTTTGATCAGTTTTTGCAACCAAAATATTTGCTGTCCATCATATCTAACTTGTGATTAGATTATTTTAGCATTGTTTTGTTGTTCTTGTTGTTGTCACAATTGTGCCCCGCTAATTGATCACATCAAGCTGATGTTCTTTTTTTCGGCTCTATTGAAACAAATAAATGAAGTCAACAACATTGGATTCATAACCATATCTTCAATACTGAATCCGTAAATGCTTTTTACAGAAGGGATTCAATTTCGACTAATGATTCTGTGAATTCAAATTGATAACGTAATCATGACGAAACAAAAGCAGAGATCGATGCATCATTGTATGTATCTGTCAAAACATTCTTGATGGATCAACACTGCCCAGTGCCAATCATTATCATCTCATAAAAGCGCATCATTAACCTCAACAATCATAAATCGAATGATCGAATTGTTATCTACTTCATATTCTCTAGTATCTTCTCTAACGTTCATTGCACCTGTCGATCATTCAGTGAAATAAACCGAATGACTGTTGCTGTAATAAGTGTGATCTTCGCTTTTATTCTCGTTGTAATCTATTTGGATGGTTCGTTGGTTTGTTTCGATAGAGATTCGGTTAATCGAATTGGGAATTATCGAGTGGTTGATTGCTATATTTGTTCGACATGTTGGCTGGTTGCTTCTACGGGAAGCTTTCTGCAATGTTCAGCCGAAATCATTTGATTCAAAATCATTCACCGATTCATCATTATTACTGTTGTCATCATAAACATTTTTATTGTTATAATTGTTATATCACTATGGAATCTTCATTTCATCTTTGTACTGATGAACTTAATAACTGCCTTATACTCGTTTCAGTTATGTATTTTGTTTGATTCGTCCGAAGGAATTTCCTAAAATGTACAACGGTAATCGAAAATTACTGATCAAAAATTGTTGATCGAAACTTCCACATAAAACAAGGCTAATAATTAACATCCGCTCCTAAATAAATTATCTTATCGTTAAATAGTGATAATAAATTAAACATATTCTCTAGCATTTACAAGCTCAAACACCATAGCCCGATGATTCAACTTATCAATATGTGTGTGTGTTTAATTGCTGGCATTTGCTAATGAAGGATACGTTAATGACTCAATTGCTGAAGGCACTTTTGTTCTATCGATTGCTGGTAATTCAGAGATCATTCTCTGAATGCTATGATCTCACCAAAGACCATAATTGTTGACTATTTGGATGCTTAAAATGTAGATATGGTGGATTTTTCCACGTGAAGACATTTAAGGATTTGGGAGAACTTGGAAATTTTTTGACTCTAAAAATTTGCGGCAGATTTGGAAGTTCACGCACGTTCGGTATAGAACTTGGGGCTAGAACGGAGCAATCTTGATGAATTTATTATAGTGTGAAAAGAAGAAAATTCGTTATTGATAAAAGACATTCATAATGTTCATTTGGTGTTCTGTGCGATCCAATGAATTGAAAATAGAATATCGAATTAGAACATGAGTCATTTCAAGAGTCTTTCTGTTCAACTTGATTGTATCATAGTATTACAATGATCATTTTATTAATAATTATCTGATTTATTAATAATTACTCAATAGTAATTACTGGTATTGTAATAAAATCGTTGTTAATATCAATCAGTATTGCGGTTAATAGAGCAAAGAATTGTTCAATGCGAATTCATGTGAGCAACGTGGAGCTGAATGCGTGCATTGCAATTGCAACAGTCGTAAATCAACTGAATTCATTTAATTCTCTCATCTAACGTTTTCGATAATCATATGACCAAAGTGCAGTCAATTCAACTGAAATGACTAATTCCATTCAACAGTGGTCGTATTTTAAAGAGATCATCATCTCGTAACACCAATGAAACCTCACATAATGCTGATAAATGACAGTTAATCGAAAGCTTATCATAGCGATCAACGTGTTCGTCTCTAATTAATCATGAGTGTGTGTTACAACTGTACAAATTTTGTTTGTCATTTATTTCAATTACAACTACTTATTTACAACGTAAATCCATTTGATTTACCATGTAAACAGGTATATGATTTGGTTTTTGTTCTTTGCCAATGGTTCTTAAGAGCAAATTCTTGTTTTACATAAAACAAAAATTTTTTTGACAAAATCGTTTTAGAAGAACTGATTTTTGATCAGTTTGCTCAGTGTATGTGATGAAGATATACAGCTGAGACGGCTGGATGAGTTGTGTGATTCATTTGATGGTCTAATGAGTCAAATTGCTAGTTTTTGATTTTACGATGGAACAAAAAATGCGTTCTGAATGCGTTCTAGTCTGATATTTGATATGGATTATTTAAGATGGCCAGCAACCAGTACGAAAATTTATTTGATGCCGAAATTTTGAGAGTGATATTAAGCCATTTCACGAAGATTCATTCGTGGAATAGTGGCTATTGATTGTTTTATTGAATTTTTTAATGCATTCCTTGTGGCATCTCAAGTGTATTTGTTGAATTCTCATATGATCATAAGAGGGACTGGTCAGGGTGGTGGTTGCTGTGGTGTTCGTCTCATCTGCTAATTCTTAAAATATCCATTCCGAATGTCGACCGTTCGTTCGCATTGTTAATGCGATCACAACGTTCTGTGCTACTATACGTTGTTATAGCAATTTACTACTGTTGCTGGGACATTATTCATTGCTGGTTTCGTTACCAAATCTGTAGTGTAGTCCACTGATTCTCTATTATAATCTCTAAATCTTGTTGTTGTGTTCGAAATCGAAACGATATGATAAGAAAAGAGTATATGATGGTGTTGAATTGATAAGAACGTTGCATAAATTACAGTTTCAAGTGGGTTTAATTCATCAACATCGATACCGTCGTCAGTCACCAGAACAGCAATAAAAATGTGCGGTATTTTTGCGTATCTCAACTTTTTAACACCGAAAAAGCGTAGCGAGGTGATTGACATCTTGATACGTGGATTGCAACGTATGGAATATCGTGGTTATGACTCTGCAGGTTGTTTTGTCTCATTTTGCTTATTTCATTGCTTTGCTCATCCAACAGTTTGATATGCGCTCGTTTGTTTACACTGTACACTGCTATCGTTCGTTACACATTGATGATGTGCGTTATTTATTTATATCGTGCTATTAACTTACATTTACCATTCGGAAATGGTACATTAGAGTGTCGTACACACCGTAGGATGTTACGGTGTGTTACGCCTATCGGAAATAAACAATATTCGTTAGAGCGAATATTGTTTAGTGCGCTGAACTTTTGGTTGTTGAAGCCAAATAGCAAAATGACCACTGATCAACTGAACTAGATCAACTGGATAAAAATTTGATGAGGATGATGCAACCGTACGGGGACTAGATTACTTTTAACTGGATTTTTGATTGTACTAGTTTAAGATGGATGTTTCAACGACATTATCAGTGGCTGATATGATTCAACTGATAAATATGAGTTCAGTTGAAATTGATATTAATCAGCTGATATGTAACTGATTAATATTAATGTCAACTGATGAATATCAAATTTGTAAATGATTAGTATTGATATCGACTGATGAATATCTGATATGCAACTGATTTTGATTGTGAAATTGTGATGCATGTTAGAATCTGAAGAGTTTTATCGATCATTGAGCAATATTGCAATCATTTCGGCGAAATATCCAGTGAATGCTGCACTACTGAGCTTCGCGTATTTGCAAGCATCGGCCGTAGTTACTTACGTGCTTTAAAGGAGAGCATTCAAGTTTAAATGTACTGAACCGGTCATGCCTTCTCGAGTTCGAGAATGCTCGAGCAAACGTTACAATTTCAATTGTGCGGCGAATCAGCCAAATAGATTGACTCAACGAATTGACGAGGTATTAAATGTTGACTAATGTGGATGAATTAAGGCATTGCAATCGATGGCAGTAATGATCCGACGGAACCGCACTCAAAAATTGCGTTACTCAAAAAAGCTGGCAAAGTTAGCGTGCTCAGTGACTACATTAAAGGTTAGCTCTTCGGTGTCATTCATAAGATTTTCATTTCAAGTGAGTGTTTGAAATTTTACAAGCGAGGTGATTGATTCAATGTGAACGTAAGAAAGTAGCGAATATATTTTTGTGAAATGTTGTTGCAGAGAATAAAGAACTGGATTTCGACGTGACATACAACATTCACTGTGGTATTGCTCATACTCGTTGGGCCACTCACGGTTCACCAAAAGATGTCAATTCACATCCACAACGATCCAGCAGAAACAATGGTTTGTTTTTATTCATTAAAATGATTCACACTGTTGTAGCATCAGCTATTTGTTTGCCAAATTCATTGCTTATCACCATCGTTCTCATTGTTTTCTTTTTTTAATCGTTTATCAGCAGTTGTTGATAGGATGCATTATAAAAATGATGTTTCTTCATCAACCGCAAATCTTACTTTGAGAATTTTTTTGCAATTTTTTGATGAGACAAACAATGATTGAATTTCAACGAAGTTTGCAACTGAATGACTGGAATGATTTTAGAGTTTCTGGTGGTGCACAATGGCATAATAACAAACTATCGTGAAATGAAAGAGTACTTGATGAAGAAAGGACATGAATTCGAGTCGGAAACCGACACCGAAGTGATCGCCAAACTCATCCAGCATATCGCTGACAAATACCCCAACTACAGTTTCCGTCAGCTCGTCGAAATTGCCATCCAACAACTGGTATGCCCCCTTGTTACTGTCTTTCGATTGATTGTTCCTTAAAATCTAACTGTTCAATCTTTATTATTCATCTAAATCGATGTGCTAATTCAAGTCCAAAAGAGAAAAAAATGCGATAATAATTGGAGATTTGAAGTATAATGGTGATAATTGTCATTGAGATAGGTCAGTGAAGATGATGAGAAAAAATTCAGGAAGGTGCGTTTGCGTTGGCGATAAAGAGCAGTCGTTTTCCGGGTCAGCTGGTAGCCACGAGACGTGGTAGTCCATTGCTTGTCGGTATCAAAAGTCAGTCTCGTCTATCCACTGACCATTTTCCAGTCTTCTTCAGTAAAGGTTTGGAAACACTTTATTCTGTTGCCATACTTCACTGTTTTGTGTTATCATTGGTATGAGTTGAATGTATTTAGTTTTATTAGTTGATGAAAGGGGACATTACTCTGTCAACGAATCAGAGAGAGTTGAAATGATGATGGCTTGATTTTGTTCAGTAGCATGCTCATATTCGAGTTGTTTTGATAGGATTTGCAATTTGTCGATTCTTCGAACTGATTAGAATGTGAAATGACTACTGCTGGATTCGAGTATGAAGAGATTGAACATCGAAAATGGGCTTTTTGTGTGGCTTGATTGTGGAATATGAAAAATAGACGAGCGCTTTTTTGTTTATGGGTTGCATTCAGCGGAATTATTACTGTTGATGGATTATGTGATAGGTAGAATAGCCGCTTGCTTCACCTCTTATCGTATGATTCCGTTCTAAGCTTGTCATTATTCAGTTTCATGAAGCGTAGTTTCAAAAGTGTTTTTTTTCATTTTCTTTCTCTTTCCAATTTTCAGTTAAGGACTTTTTTTTTGCGAATTTGAATTTTAGCTTTTGGGTTTCATTGCGCAATTTGGAAGAACAAAATTGCATGTTTGTGGTGGCCTGATTTCATTTTTTTCGTTCAGTCTCCTCTGATTAACAGCTAATATCAGTATCATCTGTTAACGTTTTCTATCACTGATCAATCGAATATGATAATAATAATCAGTGTAACGTTTATTTGAGATCATAGCAACTGATAATATCCGGTGAGTGAGGGAGCGTTCTTTAAGATTAAGTATATCAATTTGTTAATATAATTGCATAGTTGAAAAATCTCCAGTTTAGAGTTACTGCATTGGATTTGAAACTTTTTCATGTGAACTTTAATAGAAATAAGTTGCTGAAATAAGAAAAAAAGTTTAATAGAAATAAGAAAATATTTTTAATGGTGAAGTGAATTGGTGCACAGTCGAGTTGATTGAAGGAAAGTGGTCGTGTTTGTTTGAAGAATTGAATGTGAACGTATTTGAATGATATTGTTTGGTTAGCAAAATAGTTGTTGGTAGGTAGAACAATGAATGTCATGGGGATCGATGCTAACCGAAAGTAGGTTGGGAATATGTTTCAAGGATAATATTCTGTTGGGTAATTTAGTGCAGAAATCGTTCTGAATCCTATTGTATAGAAATGAAACTCGGTGAATTGTTTGAAATTGAATTGTTGAAAATGGGATTCGTATAATGAGATGAAAGCGTGAAGAATTGCAGAAAGTGATTGGCTGTGGCGTGATGAACGCAACAAGATTACCAACGATTGTGATGGTACTCACTAACCAACTTATAGTTAGCCTGAACCTTAGCCTTAATGCATTTATTCCCTTGGTCTTTTGCTAATTCAAAGATTCGTGGCCAACGGCTTAGATTTGTTGTTGTTGTTGTTGTTTACCCTCTCCATCCACACCGAATTTTGCCTAGCTCAATCTTATAGCTTAAGGTTTATCGTCAACATTTAAAGGTTGAACTTTAAGGCCTCTTTCCTCGTTCAGATTCTAAGCTCTGGCTACGGGTCTGCCTGCCACTTTACCCTCCCAATAACTCTCCACTTGTTTCTTGTGCCCTTGTCGTTCGTTTGCCCTCTTCTGAAAATAACTCTGATTGGATTCTCGCTGAAGTTCATTCGAATTTTGATTCGTTTGGCCGAAACGCTCGTAGGTGATCGGAGTTGTTTCGAGAGTATCAACTGTCATTTGCACATTTCCGAGTTTTGGTTTCGTTTGCAGAATAGAGATCATTTGAAAGCTTTGAATGTGTGCAATAATTTGATGTGTTGCTATTGCCATTATTTTGTTTTTTGTGTTTGAACGATGTTTCGAATATGAACGCTTTTTATGCGATCCTGGAACTTTGCTTCTTAATTATTTATGGTATCGAGCGTAATTGTTATAACAACTAATATTAGTGTTCATTATTGTATTCGTTCAGAATTATTTAATCCTATCACTTTGTCGTGCTTCACAGTGCTCAGTTCATTTAAGCTAAACAACTTCCATCAGGGTGCTGTGTTCTGCTGCCGCTGCTTTTTTTTGCATTATTCTCTCAGCCGGTCAACTTAATGTGTTTATTTATTGCCAGAATTACGGTGGCCTTGCGAATTGTGGTATTTCCTAAAAAATTGAAAGTGATAATGAATGAATAACTTTGTTATTCTTGCATAGTTTCTGAGAGTTTTGTGGTATTGTTGCACATTTGAAACGCATTCCAAATCATCCAGTCACGATTCATCAATTTGCGATTACTCTGTAATATTAATGTTCGTTTGGAATATATGAATTCGACCCAACANATAGTATAAGTGAATTTCAGCACGGCGTTTCGTGTCATCGCAAAATGCTGACGAATCACTTGTGGAAACACCGTCTGGTTTTGAATCAAGCTTTGCCACGAGTACACCGAATGTCGCAGGTAAATTGAGCATTCACAGCATCTTCCCTTCACCATCAACAATCACCATTAAACATTTATTCATATGATGAATTGCAGAGATGAATACAAAACCGAATACGACATTGATTCGCCCGTTTGACTCGAAACATTGGGAAGTTGAGTACTTCGTTGCATCTGATGCTAGGTTGCTTCCTCTTCGTTATTATCATAAAACTTATTGGTTATCGATAACATTCATACTATCACTAGCGTAATCCTCATCACTATCCAGTAGATCAGCAATTGCTGATTGTTTCTTTAACTGGTTGATATGTTTAAGTATTCGCATCTTTCTGAAGCGATAGTGAAATTTATAAATCAAAATAATACTGAAAAGATATGCTTTTCAGTGCAATAATAGAACACACGAAGCAAGTGATATTCCTCGAGGATGATGACGTTGCATTCGTTGAAGATGGATGTATGTTGAATGGTGTTTTGATTTATCCTTTTGTGTGCGATTCGTTTGCGATCGGTGGATGTTTCTGTGTTGAATGCAACCAACTCTGAGAGTTTCAGCGCTTTCCATTCATCGTATCAAACGTGGTACAGCATCGAGCTCACCACAAACACGTGAAGTACAAAATCTAACAATGGAACTGCAACAAATCATGATGGGTAATTTCAAGACGTTTATGCAAAAAGAGATATTCGAACAACCGGAATCAGCCGTGAACACAATGCGTGGTCGTTTATTGGCAGACGGTCGTGTTGTTTTGGGTGGTATTAAGGTGGGACTCATTTCTCACCTATGTTCATTTTTTGTTCGCATCATTCAAATTTCTGTTATTGACGAAAAAGACATCATGAATGGTTGTCATTACAGTTGGTAGATAGTATACTTTGAGTATTGCAGGATTATGTGGCTGATATAAAGCGATGTAGACGTTTGATTCTGATTGCATGTGGCACTTCATATCACTCAGCTATTGCGGTTACTTCTTTAGTCATTTGTTTCCTATTGTTAGTCACTGTTTGATCTGTTCGTTCAAGTCTAGTCAAATAATCTAGTTCTTCAGTAATATCTTCAATTGATCCGTTACTTAAATTCCGATAGTAACATTCAATTTTGAGTTCTTCTCTTGAAACTTGGCTTGCTTATATTACGCAAATAGTCAACAATTTATACAGCAATGCGAACTTTGGATGTGTTCGAGAATAATAGCAAAACTATTGTTGGTGGATAAATGTTTGATAATCACGAGAATGCGCTAATTGGGATGATAATCGTAAAGTGGCAATAAGAATAGAAGTTTTTAGTGTCGTCAAATAATGGAAGAACTCACCGAGTTGCCAGTAATACTGGAATTAGCTAGTGATTTTCTGGATCGTGAGACGCCAATATTCCGTGACGATGTGTGTTTCTTTATATCGCAGAGCGGTGAGACGGCCGATACTCTGAATGCTCTACGGTATCTCATTATTAAGACGATTTATATTATTTGTTAACACACAAACACAACCTCCGTTTAAATGCAGCCTTGTGATTGTTTGTAACATTATCCTAATTTTGCTATCATTAATGTTTACGGTTAAGAGTAGTGGTCGCGTTTATATCAGATGTTGAATTAGTGGTTCGTTATTATCGCTCATAATGACCGTGTCATATCCATTTAAGATATTGTAAACCGCGTGGAGCACTTCTTATTGGTGTAACAAATACGGTGGGTAGTAGCATTTGTCGTGAATCGCATTGCGGTGTGCATATCAATGCTGGTCCTGAAATTGGTGTGGCTTCGACCAAGGTCTCGTCTTCATCAAAATATTTCACTTTTCTATCTGAGAATGAAGCTTCGAATTTATTTTCGTTCTACAGTTGTTTCGTTCACAGTTTGTGGACTGTTTGTTTTGAAAATTTTCAACATTTGAATCGAATTCAAAATATGTACGAAAATTTGTTTCCTTGAAATAAATTTTATCCTAAATGATTGTATCGAAAAGGAATATAACGATGCGATAGATGTGGGAATAATTGATGGATGAATGGATCGAGAGTAAAATACTAAGTTTTCAGGCGTACACCTCTCAGATTCTAGCGTTGGTAATGTTTGCGTTATCGATGAGCGATGATCGCATCTCAATGCAAGCTCGTCGTGCCGATATCATCAAATCTCTGAAAGCACTCCCAGGTCGTGTCCATTTTTATGCTACCGTTTTATCGCAATTCGTAATGATTATTATTTATCTATTATAGTACATCTCAGCTGAACTGTTGATGAACTGAAACAATTAGGAATCAGTGTTGCGTAAGAAAGCGACTCGAAAACATTTTTATAAGTGTTTGTGTGGTGTGATAAGAGTGTTGTTATCAGATCATATTCGTGAAGTGCTCAAACTGAATGACCAAGTACTGGAGATTGCTAAAAAGTTGCATAGAGAGAAGTCTTTACTCATTATGGGACGAGGCTTCAACTTTGCAACTTGTCTTGAAGGTGCCCTCAAAATTAAGGTGATCATTTACAGACACTGCTGTTGTTTCGCTTTTATTATTAATGATAACCCGATTAATATTGCCATCATTTTTGAGAATTTTATCAGTAATATGCAATGAGCATTGTTTTTGTGATATTGTATTGGTTAAGATGTCATGTTATAACCGTATTACTATTATCATTATTATCAATTCTGTCCCTGAAATGATTAATTCTCAAAGATATTCATCTTAAATTGAAGGAGTTATCGTATATGCATTGTGAAGGTATCATGAGTGGTGAATTAAAGCATGGGCCATTAGCTATGGTTGATAGTAATCTGGGTATTGTGATGATTATTTGCAGTGACAATGTTTATAAGGTGATTTTTGTCATTATTAACGTATGTTTAATGAAATCTACTATTGAATAATTGCTGTCATTCATTAGAATTGACTAATGACTAATAAAAAATCCCGTTTAACAACAATCTTTATTACTTTATTACGTGTTTTTATTGGAGTGGTTTTGATTTGTTTTGAATGTTTTTAAAAAGCAAATACGCGTTGAGTATTTCAATTTGTATTATGATTACTGTTAGTCGAATAGTGTCATTACTATTCTAATGGATTTGTAGAAGTCATTAAACGCATTGCAACAAGTGATCGCTCGTGAAGGTGATCCAATCATAATAGCCGATGTGGATGTACCCGAAAAGGATCTCGCCGGTCGATCGCATATTTTGCGTATTCCAAAGACAGTGGATTGCATCCAGAACATACTTACTGTTATACCATTACAGTTACTTAGTTATCATATTGCTGAGCTGAACGGATTAAATGTAAGTTCATAGAGCTTTTGAGAAGAATATGCAAAATATCAAGTATGAAGAATATGAGGAATAATTGCAGTGCATAGAATATCAGGACGTTTCATTGAATTACTGAATGAATGGTGAGATAATGATGAGAAATTGATTAACCGTTATTGTGTTCGATAGTTATAACAAACGTCACATATCATCAGCACATATTTTCAGGTTGACCGACCTCGCAATTTGGCAAAATCAGTTACTGTGGAATGAGTGGAGTATCCTCTTTTGATTCTGCTATCATATCCCCACTCATCACTCAATATAATTTATCAATTTGCCATTTTGCCATAATTTCTCAATCTACTCCTCTTGTGTTATTCCGCAATTATTCAGTTTTATTCGTATTTTGGTTTTGTTTGTAATATCGGATTCATTTTTACCATCATAATTTATTCAGTTGTTTAATGTCTTCCGCTGTTCAGTGCCAGCAGTAGTTTACCATTCCAAATAGAACTTGCAACGATTGCTGAGCAGTTCCACTCGAGTGTTTTCATCCACTGAAGGGATTCGTCATTCCTGTAGTATACCAGTTTCTCAAAACATGGTTTTTTTGTTGAACAGAGAAGTGAGAAAATACCCATCTCTGTTGGTGTAAACGGTGGTTTTAAGTGGACGTTGCACTGAATTTATTGAATTCTTTTTTTGGGATATTTGCTCTGTTCTATGTTACGGTTTATCAAGCTATTCAGCATGCTCTCCTTCTCTTCGAATGATGTGCCTCGTTTTAAAATTGCAGCATATTTATATTACAATATGCAGTTTATTCATTATTATTCAAGCGTTCTGTGATCGATTGTTTTATCCACATGAATTCATTCATTCATTCAGATTATCCTCATCAAATTATATTGTTTTAATGCGATGTTTGTTTTAATACGATATTTGAAAGGTGATCAATGTTTCTAATGTTTTCAATAAATATTCCATTTCAAATGTTGAGCATTGCCCAGTCAACCAACACCACATTCCTCACTCGGCTAATTCATCGCAAAAAATTGTTCGTTCAAAGACTAAAGTAAACGTGTGAGAACATATGAACTATCGCCCGGAAGCTTAAGTCCATGCTTACGATCGGAACTGGGGTTCTTTACTACAATCAAACGTCTGGANTGATTTATATGCAAAGGTTGGTTCGAAAAAACTTGAAAGCATTGTTTCGATTCAGTTGCAATCGGACTCGAGGGATTATTGAATGATGTATAATTGAGTTAGCATTCGCAGTTAGTGCAGTTGTTCAAGAGAATGTGACATATCTGAATTGCGTTCGAATGATTTTAATAAGACGCAGTTAATGTGAATGTGCACCGCGTGATGCAATTAACTGAATCATAAACAAATGTTATGGCATATGACTAATCAAGAGTAAAACCATTCCGAAAGTGACACTCCGTAAATTGTGTGAATGATATCACCATTTTGTGGTTGTGTGGTATTTAATGTGCCAGTAGTACGGTAGTAGTACTTAGAGCTATTGCATAGTAGTGCGTTGTTGTGATTGAACGAACCATACAAAAAGTATGTAATCAACGTTTTATTGCCTCGCAGAATGGTTGGTTAGACATCTTATCTCGAGATGTATGCAACAAAACTGAATGGTTGGTGTTGGATGATAGCGGCAAAGAAGTGTTACAAAACAATTTACTGAACATCAAACGGTGCTCATTGTTCCGAAGCAAATGTGTCATGATGACCAGATCGGGATGATGCGCGATTGTTTGGTGTGTGTGTGAGAGTTTGAGATTTGCGACGATCTCAATCGCTTGGGTGATGCGTTTCGTCGTCCGATTGTACCTTCTTCTCGTCATCATCTAGTCAGGCATCAAAAATACGACAGAACTTGAAACGACACGCATATCCTGAACGGATTCGTTGTTTATTGGTTTACATTTTAATGTACTGCTGATATGTTAACAATTAAGCAATGCGATAAATAATTACGGAGATGAGAATGTATTATATGTCATTTTCTGGGGCAACATTCTATGTAAAATCCGGGAATAGACTTCTTTCACGGGCACAAACCATACTGTCACAAATGAATATGACTTTTGGATTTATATCGAGATGTCTGGGAAAACGAACTTCGTCTATTCGCATCGCCTATTGGTGTGACATTATTACGGCAAACGTTTTTCATGACGAACAACTTCACAATTACCATAGATAATCATACTATCATTAAAAAACTATGCAATGAATACCATATATTGAATCTTATTGATATAGTTAACTTTAGCACAGAACACTTTGAACGCAGAAATATGAAGCACTTACGACGATACATGCCGTCTTCTTTACTTCGCCTCTGACGTTCAATCAACCGTTCAGCTTCGAGTTCACGCAGAAGATCGTTTATTTCATCGATGCTCATTTGTGACCGTTGTGGAGAGATATCGTTTTTGTTGACGACTGCTTTGCTGCGATTATTATTTGCACGCAATAGTCCATTCAGTGATAATGTGTATGGAAATGCCTGAAAATTTCATCCGACTACATTCACAACACTTTCGTCAACTGCTTCATGCTCAATTCTTTGCCTGTAGGACAACATCCTTTTTTCTACAGAACATTAATTTCTCACTCGTCGAGATACTTTTTCAAATGCTCGAGATCGCTTGCTAGCGTATAAACACTCATTCAATCGTTTGATGCAATAGGAATTTCGAATTTCGAATCACTGAATTCGGTTCGGTTATTATGATGGAGGCCGTTTTTATATTGTTTTTTATATTGCTCATCCGTTAGTTTTGTCAATGACAACGATCGATTCCGAGAAGGTATCGATGTAGAACATTGACACTAACTTATGATACTATATAACAAATATGATCTATATGAAAGGTGCAAGCACTGAAGTATTTGAACTTGAGTGGTTGGACTTAAAGCTTCTCTGAAGCAAAACGAGAATGAACAAAGTAAGAGTGCACCCTCGCAACTCGAAGTGGAGTATCATCGAGTAAACGTATTGAGCTGACCACATGCTTCGCGTAAAAGAACGATAGTATGGCTGAATATAAGATAAGTTTGCAAATCATCCTCTCTCTCTGAAAGTCACTTCATGATTCGTTTCGGATACCTCAATGGCTGCACGTAACTATTCATAACCACGTCACAAAATATCAGTTAATTGAACAATTACATCTTTTCGTTTGTGACACTGAACACTCGAACAATACATCAAGCACTGTCACACGTAACTCATAAAATTTAACGGTCTGATCGAATAATGAGCAAAATATTTGAGCGAAGGAAAAATTAACAATGGGATTGAAAATGAGCGAACGCTCTCATAAAAATGAGGAGAATATCAACGAAAAGAATTTAATTGAATGAAATGAAAGGAAAATCAACGGAAACGGAGATATGAACAAACAGATGAGTATTTTTGCGACAATAAGCCGTAATTACTATCAAATATCGTCATGAAAAATTGTATTATACAGATCCAACGATTATTTTGAAATCATTTCAGTTCACTGATAATATTATAGGTGTATTTAGCGAACTGACTTTACCGACTTTAAGCCGCTTGCCGGCACAACATGATCATGCACCAGATATCCTCAGTTCGTTCGATTCGGTTCGATTTCATTTCTCCTAATGTTCGATCTGACACTCAGAAAATGAACTCTAACCGAAACTGTCCCAGTCAACTTTCATTCCCTTTTACTAATAAGAACTCATATGGTTCCTCATTCAATCCCAATTCGAATCTTCTCTTGATTACTGGCAACTTCTAGAGCTCATATGAGTATATTGTAGCCACTTGTAGGTTATATTTGAGCCCACAACTGCTATCCCCTGATTATTCCGCAACTTGTAGAAGCCGGTTTTTGCTCAGCTAGGTGAGCACTCTAAGTTTCATTCCGAAAAGTCATGTAAGTCATTCGGATGAATTTCTTGCAATTGTGAACAAATTGATCGTTTAATTGCTATCCATCTCTTCATCTCCAACTAACTGCGGTGAACTATTTTTGTGCGCACAACTGCACAATTGGGCAATCATCCTCTATCACATCTACAGCAAAACAATCGAATTCAAGTGTACGTTCTGTTGGCTACAATCTATAAAACGTCACCATATTCAAGAAAATCTAGAGTCACGAAATCACCGAAGTCACACAGCACTGTAACCGAATAACTTATTCCAGATGGACTCAGTCGTGGTGAATAGCAGCAATAAAGAGCGATAGATCTATGAATTTCTATCCAGGAGAAATTAAAATTTCTATCCAGAAATGTCATCACCATCATTCAGAACGAATTTTCATACCATTTCTCTGAATTCGTTCAGAATAAATTTTCATCACATTATTGGAAAGAAAATCCGGAAATGTGGATGTAATGAAAATTTCACGACGTCAATGTGGCTGCGTGGATTTTGTTGCCGTGCATAAATTTCATTCCGAATTAAACAGTTAATGCTACATTCGAATGCTATTCAATTTCCGCCAGAGAAACGACTTAAAAGGTCGTCTCGATCTTTTAAGAAAACCGACTTAAAAGGTCACAATTGGAAATGTGCTCTTTCATTGAGTTGCGATTGGAGATTGAAAAATTTTTAGCAAAACTCAAAATTGTGTGAATATGATTTTGTAATAATGACTGCGAACACTTCATGAGTTGATCTCTTGATTGATAATTTCGAAATAATTCGAGGTGTCATTACCTCGAGTTGAAATAGGTGAACGTAAGAATATGGCTTATTTCACGAATTGATTCCGAAAGTAGCGCCGTAAGGCGAAAAACGACCTGATTCAAGCAGTGATCTATTTGTTCAGATGTCGTTACTGACCATGAGCAAAAGCTCCTTTAATAGCATCACGAATATCACTGATTATCACTTGCCACTTTCCATATCCAATCTTAACCTGTCAATTTGCAAATCTAGTCCTTCCACCTCATTTTCGTTCTGCCCATATTCCTCTTCCAAACGCTCGGTTACCGTTCTGTTGCTTTTTACACTTGACGTTGTCTTCTCTTACCACTCAAAAAATATTCCTTTCATACTTTGAACAATTTCCTTAACTTTGGTGACACCCTAAGCCAATCATTAGTATTTCGAACATAGACCTTTTAAACCGTCATTAGGCATTTTCAGGCCTCTTTCAATGTGCACATGTACAGAGCAGTGGTTCCCGTAGAGGGTGAAGTTACCTATTTTGGGTAATTTGTAGGTGGGATGGGGTGATGGACGGGGTCGGGGAATA